GCAAGGGCCTGGCTCCCTCCTCCTCGCCCGCCCTCGCAGCCACACCTGGCGAAGCTCTGCACCCACAGGGACACCCTGTGTCCTGCTTTCCGCACCCAGATCTCCCCTTTTTAGACCAGAGAAGTCAAGCCATTTGGGCGGGGCAGGGAAAGACCGTGGACAGCAGTAAAGAGGAGAGGGAGGGTGAAGATTACCACAGCCCCAATGCACCCACAAAAAGTACCTGGGCACAGCAGAGAAACTGAACGGCACTGGTGAAGCACAGAGCATGCACAAAGAAAGAAAACGTCTAGAGTCGTGCAGAAAATGGCATATAACGAAAGAAGGGAACATCTTTCTAAATGACTAATATCAGTAAAACTTAGCTGATTATTTTTTTTGTTTACTGAACGCCTGCAATCACAGTGCGTGCACAGACACAGCCTTCCCTCATGCGAACAAACCTCTCCACCTCCTACTTATGCTTTTCTGTAAATGAGCTACGCTGATGCAGAGAGGGGGGACAGAAATATAACACTTTTTGATGGAAGCCCTCCGCTGTCGCTCACGGAGATGAACTTCCTGGTACACTTAAAAGAAGTGGGGATCACTTCTCAGAATTTGACATTTAAGCAGCACCAAACACCTACATTGGTTCTGCTTGCAGGGACATCTTACACTGCCTTCCTGTACAAGGAATAATGAGAAAACTGCAGAGATTTTTTCAAAGCAACACCCTAATTTTTTCAAACTTTTTTCTCCTCCTGGATTTGCACCCTCTTAAAAGCAATCCATTTGCTATATAAAAATTTTGGTGTGTCTTATAGGAGAAAAAAAGTCAATAGTCATTTAGCTTCCTGCACACACCTTAATTGCTTTCCTTCTTGTCACTGAGCAGCGAGTGCTAATAGCGGAAAGGAAGCACTTTAGGGGCTTTTACGTAGGCAGGGGTGATAGGTGCTTTTTTTATGATGTGTACGTTCAAAGAGCGGCTGTCTAAAATGACTCACAGAGGCTCTCCTCTACCTTTTTCATCTTAACCTGAAAAATAGTTGTCATAATCTAAACTGAAGACTTAGATGGGACTAAGCAGTCAGTGGGAATAAAATCAGTCAATCAGGGATATCTAACCTTAGCAGAATCCACAAAAATTATCACATGAACCCAAATTTTTTGGTTTCTCTCCTTTTGCATTGCCCAGGCATTCAAGAGAGCTTTCTAGCTTCTCCCTCCCCTTCACTCCTACAGAGTCCTCCAAAATGCTTTCACCAACAGGCATCTGCTAAGGAGACTTTATAAAACCTGTTTTCATCTGTGTTCCCAGGGCAGAGTGACAGGAACTTTAGTTTCTTTGAAAACTCGTGTCATTTTGGGATTCTTAGGCCTCCAATTCTTCCTGTATCAGAGTATTCTTCATAACAGGTCAACTTCCTTCAACTGAAAAGTTTCCGCAGACCTACCTTATGGGGATGTAATCTCAGGTTTGGAAGTGTGTGAACGTGTTATTTGCATACAGGACTTTCTAAAGCTTTACAACTTTTAACCCTGAGAAAAAAATTGTCTCTGCTTTCTCCTGTTATCTTTATAATACATTTTATTTTTAGCAAACCACTTCTCCCATTTCTAATCCATAGATGCCTATAGATGAGAAGGCTGACGCCTATAGATGAGAAGGCTGACGCCTATAGATGAGAAGGCTGACGCCTATAGATGAGAAGGCTGACGCCTTCAGAACTTTTTTTTCCACTCCACATTTGTTACATGGGGCAACGTGCATGAGCTCATCAGGGGCTTTCTAAGTGTTAAAAAAAGGGGGAGGGGGGGATTTTTCTTGCTTTTTTGCCTAGTGGGAGCTGAGAAAAACTTTAACTTATTTTCTGAGTTCTTTTGCTTCTGGTACTTTTGACAAACGGTTGCTAGAGTTAGCTCCATTTTAATACAGTTTTCAATGTAATTAATCTCCCTTGTGTTAACCCCTTTTCAAAGAGTAAGTAATTTCACACTGCTTGTTAAGAGGATTCCCTACTCCAATTCTTTTACTACGATGAGTAATTTTTGCTTCCAGTATCTCCAATATAATTTTCCCCCATCTCTTTTTTTTTTTTCCCCATCAAGGCAGAAGTTGATAGTTAGCACCAAAA